CAGCCTAGCGCTCCCCCTCGAGGATCGCCTGATGGGCGCTCGGCCCGCCCTAGGGGGAGGGGGCTGGGGCCGAAGTCATCGTCCTGGCGCCTCGCCAGGCTGGGGGTGAGGGGGCGCAGAGCAAAGTTATTACCCTAGGGCTCGTGCCCCTCAGGGCCATCGGCGCCGCTGGAGGCGTAAACATGTTTGTGCAGCAGCCTCGCCCCTCACCACCCCAGGAGCCCCCTCCCGAGGCATAGGACGCCCTGCGTCCCCCACGCACCTGCCTGGCCACCAGGATTCTTCCTACTGCCCTAATTGGACAGGCACCTAGACAGCTTTCTCACTCTTCATTCCACCTCCTCCACTACAACATCCGCCCCCCCACCGCGATCCTCAAGTCCAGCCCAGCTTGTGGGTGGGCGGGAGCGATTTTTAGCTCCTTGCAGCCTTAGAAGATGCTGGTCTCGAGGCTGCGCAGGCGCAAGAGGCGTGCGTCCACTGCACGGAGTGGGACACTGAGGATCGCTGTGGAGTGTGGGGAAGGTGGGGACAAACTCAGGTGTCGGGAGCTCCTACCTCCAAGGTGGGGAGGGATTCTGTAGCCGAGAAGCGTCCTCTGCTCGTCTTCAGCTGCGTTTCTGAGGGGTTAGTAGGGAAGTTCAGGGTTAACACAGAGGTTCGGTCCCAAACATTCCAGAGAGGAAGGTGATGATATCTGTGCCCCAAGGCCCTGCCTGGGGTCTGGCCCTTCTGAGCCTCCTTGGAGCTCAGTCCCAGGCTTGGTAATCTGGAGTTTAGATAAAGCCAAGAATCGGCCCAGACTCAGGCTCCATCCCCAGCCTGAATCTTGGGAAAAGAGGATTCAAACCCTCACCTAGGGCTTCGTCCATTTCTAGACTCCCCTAATCCATCATTCCCGAGGTTGAAGACCAAGGGGAGCTGATCGGTCAGTGCAGCAGGAAAAATGGTGATCAGACTGCAGGAAGGACCTTCCAGGCGTCTGGATAACGCTGGAGCCAGACATGAGTTGGAAAACTAATTTGCTTTCGGAGCCCAGATGGCCCGCTCTCTGGAGCTTAGGCCTCTCTGAAGTGCTCCCCACATTCTCTCCCCCTCCCAGGGGTGGGTTAGGAGAGTGGGTTCCGGGAAAAGGGAGGCAGCTGCGGCAAAGTTAGAGCAAGTGCTGCAGCAGCCAGGCTGGGTTCGCGCCGTCGGGTCTCCGAGAAAAGGGAGGAAATAGGCGGGGCCTGCACTGTGTGTCCCCGCCCTCCGGGCCGGCGTCAACTCTCATTGGCTCGTCGCCACGCGGGACTTTAGACTCCCGCTCAAGACACCGCCCCCAACGCGGGATGCTTCCACTCACCCACCCACCCACTCAACCCGAGGCATGCTCTGGGTCTGGTGACCCATGTCGGAGTCCTGTCCCCACCGCTTTCCTTCTGGTGGGATTAACCACTTCGTTGCCTGGATACACCCACACACGTTGCTGCAACCTCTTAGGAACTGTCGCATCACTGCTGAGGGCCTGAGGGCCCCCTGTGTGCAGCTAGGCTCTAGTAGCTGGGATTACAGGCGCACGCCACCATGCCCGTCTAGTTTTGTATTTTTAGTAGACAGCGAGTTTCGCCATGTTGGCCAGGCTGGTTTTGAACTTCTGACCTCAGGTGATCCGCCCGCCTCGGTCTCCCAAAGTGCTGGAATTACAGGCGTGAGCCACCACGCCCTGGGATCTTATATATAGACAGCATCCTGAGTTCGAATGTCCTGTCTGCAGTGTCAACTATTAATCCCGTGCAGGAGAAGCGGAATCCACTTGGCAGAGCGGCTCTGCAGCTGAGGTTGGAGGTGGCGTCTATCTACACTGACGTCAAAGATCTGAACTTTCGCCGCTCCAGTTTGACCCTTTCTTCGTCCCTAGAATGTTTGGGGGCGCTAGCGGATGGGGCTGGGTTCAAGGTTTTCTTCGTGTTGTGCTTAAAAGCCCTCCAGGGGCTTACCCTCCAAGGCTGGGTTATCCGGGTCTGGACCCCCGGGCTCTGGGCCAGAAAATCCAGGTCTTGATTTCTCTTGGACCATTGCAGACGCGCAGCCAGGTCAACTGGTCCTGGCTGCGGCTCATTCACGCCGGTCGTGCAAAGACAGAGGGAAAACCTGGTTTGGATTACCGGTCACCCGTGGCTCGGGAGGGCAGGGCTGCCCTTTGGCACCGCTTATATGTTTGTCCATTGTACAAGGGGGTGGGACGACCCTCTGGCCCATCCTCTGTCATGCAGCATGTCCCTCCTTAATAACGCCTGTTCTCCGAACTTAGTATTCATTGAGCATTTGCTATGTGCTAGGCACCATGCTAAGGGGTTAGGCATCTGCGTCAACTCACAAAATCCTCAAGGAGACACGGGAGTATTGGAAGGTCATTTGCCAAGGTCATAAAAGGCAAAATTGAGATTTGAACCTAGGGTTTTCTGCTTTTAGAGATCCTAGAAATAGTCTAGAACATCCCTCATTTTCCTCTTGTTGGAGGTTTTGAAACTCTCCCCCAAACCTTTCCACCTGCAGCCCCACTGAGTTTTCTTCCTTCCACCTCACCCTGTGGATAGAAAACTGGCTGGAAGGTGCTGCCCCTTGTCCCCCATTCCTTTCCTCAGAAAAGGGCCAAGACCCCATATCTCCTGATCCCTACAGAGACTTCCTGAGAGCTTGACAAATGGAAGGCGACCTTCTTCAAATGCAGACACATAAAGTTAATACCCACTAATTATTATTATTATTGTCATTATAAAAAATGACTACGTGGCCATCACCTGAATTTCCATTTTTATTTTTTTATTTTTTTAATTTTTTATGTTTTTGTTTTTGTTTTTGTTTTTGTTTTAATTGAGACCGTGTTTCACTCCAGCAGTGGTGTAATCACAGTTCACTATAATCTCGACCTCCTGAGCTCAAGTGATTCTCCCACCTTAGCCTCCCTGGTTCCCATTTTAAATCTCAGTTGTGAGTCACTCTACTTACCTACCCCCCACCCCCTACCCCAACTCTGTGACTCTAGCTGGGAGTCAGATCGATCTGTTGAGGTGTAGATGAGTCATTCATTCTTTCAACCTTTCATTCATTCAACCTTTCATTCATTCATTGAGCATGCCAAGCTTATTCCCGCCTCCAGGCCTTTGCCCTTGCAGTTCCCTCCACCTGGCATTCTCTCTCCACAGATCCTCCCATGGCTGGCTCTTATCTTTCAGCCACCAGCTTAAAAGTCACCTCCACAGAGCAGCCCTCTCTGACAATGTGTCTCCATCCCAGCCATTGTCCATCATATCACCCTGTTTAATTTATTCATAAGACAAATTACTGTCTAAAATGATTTTGTTCACTTCTACACTAATCTTGTTTAGTGTCCCCTTTACCCTACAAATACTAGTCCGAAAAGGCCAGAAACTTTTTTTTCTCCTTGAGACAGAGAGTCTTGCTGTGTTGCCCAGGCTGGTGTTGCCCTGGACTCAAGCGATTCTCCCTCCTCAACCTCCCAAGTAGCTGGGACCAGAGGCGCACACCACCACACCGGGCTTGTAACTTATTCACTGCTGTGTCCCTAGTGCCTAGGATAGGGTCAGCATACAGTAGTGCTCAAGACATATTTTTCAAATAAAGATTCCTATTTCATTTGCACAAACACACACTGAGATGCCAACTCACTTGCCTTTATACAGGACCCCGCCTGTGCACTTGGGTCTCTGTTGGTCTCTGAGGGTCAGGAGAGGAATCACCCGGGGATCCTCTCCCCCAAGAAACTTGGCCCGCAGTGCATGGCCAAGGGTGAAAGTGACAATGCTGAAGAGGGGCCTGTCTTACCCTGCTTCTGCTCCTTCAGGGAGCTGAGCATGCTTGTGGGCAGCAACGGTAGGTCCACGCTGACCTTCATCGTTTTGCTTCTTTGCCTTCCAGAAGGATTTGCCCCTGCCCCGGAAAAGCAGCAGGTGAGCCTTGGGGAGAGACGTGGCGGGGGCTGGCCGCCCCTTCTCCCGCCGGGGTGGGGGCGCCAGGCG